ATCTTGAATAGCTTTGGGTCCGTAGTCAGTGCTGTGGGATTGGAGGTGCACTCGATCGCATCGATAATTGGTCGATCTGCGGGGTTTCGAGCTGGATGAATTTCGAAGGCAGTGATAAGGCGCATGTAAGCCGTGTAGAGCTCCCTGTTAGCCAGGTGGGATCCTGCACACATACGAGAACCTGCACCATACGCGTAGTGAGGTGTTCCACTCTCGGTGTCGTTTAGGAAACGTTCTGGGATGAACTTGTAGGGGTCCTTGAAACGTTGCTCATCGTAGTCTGCCGCATATGCGTTCTATTAGGATGAGAAAGGATATTAGCTGCTGTGGATCACCGAACGGATCTACGAAACTGGGTAGCTTGCTCAAACTTACCATGAAAAATGTTGTACCGGCAGGGATCACAGCGCCCTCATACGGAATGTCTTTGATGCTGGTGCGAGGTAGGCAAATGGGGATGACTGTCCAGAACCGAAGCGTCTCTTTGACGAGGGCAGTGATGTATGGGACCTTCTCCTCAACGAGGCACTTCTCCCATGCTTCACCGTCTGGGTACACCTTCTCGATTTCCTTCAGTGCCCTTGCTTGAACCTCCTGACCTTCTGGGGAAGAGAGAAAAGCGAGGCCCATGACTAAGTTCACGGGAACTGTGTCAAGTCCTGCAGAGACCATGGTCAAACAGATCGACTTGATTTCAGCTATGTAGCAGCGTCAGTAAAAATGATACTAGATAAGACAAGTTTTCGGAACAGTTGGGTCCTTACCTTCGTTCAGCTTAGCCTCAGGATCTTTGAGAATGTTGCCCGTGATACAAGGCTTGTCAATCCCTGCAGCAATCTGTCCCTTAAGCTCATTGAGTAGTTTGGTGAGGTAGGCATCTCGTCTCAAGCGGAACGACTCCGCCTCGGTGTTTTGCTTATTCCAGAGCCTCATGATCGGGACATAGTCTTGCCAGTTGTTGCTCGTCGACCTGAAATTGGAAACACCACGCTCCACCTGGGTGATCTCCTGAAGCATCTCATTGTTGATATTTCCATCAATGCGAATACCGTAGTTGAGAGTCAAGGAGGTGTTAAGCGCGAACCGAGCAAAGTACGGGGAGGGGTCGACGTCGACAGCGCCACCTTTGCAATCGGCTGCCAGCTCCTTGATACTCACTGTAGACTCAAGGTCGAGGATGGGCATGTAAGACTGGGTAGAGGGCCGATTGAGCGCGGTAGCGGCTGCTTTGCGACGAGCCTTGCATGAGTCGTCCCAGGGAGATGTGCCGATGGTGAAGCCCTGAGAGGAGGAGACTACGGAATGAAAGGTATGGAAAGTTGGGCGCGAGATCAGGGCAGATTGGTGCGTGATCCAAAAATGCCTGACTGATTCGTAGGAGTTGACAAAGATGACCCTCTGCGGAAGATCTGTCAGCCATTGCCGCTCACTGCGATTGAATGAATGGACCGTACCTTGTTACCAAGCCGTGTTTGAAAGACCGGACCGTATTTTTGTGCCCATTTCTGAGCTACACGGGCGTGGTCTGTACCCAAATGCCATAAGTTTCCCAGTATAGGCAATCCGGGAATCTCGGGGAGATTCTTGATTTTAGGTATATCGGTTGTATTGAGCAGCCTAACAAGTAGGAATAGCACAGCAACAATAGCAATGCCAATGACTTGGTACGACATCTTGAATATTCGTGCTCGTGCAATTCGCAACACAGGAAGGGAAAAGAGTGGTAGAGAGCTTGGAGGTAGAGTTCCAAACGAGAAACAGGCCTGGGGAGGGGAGCCAGTTATATTTAGCTAATTAGGATTACATTGTACTTCCTCTTCTCCCAGGTAACATCCGTCTGGAACGAGAGCGTATTACGTTCGAGCCGAGTCATCTGCCACCACTGGATGTCAAATGCCACCTCAGTCATCAAGCTCCAAGCGGGGACCCCTGGAAAGTTGGAGCGTGCGGGGTGGTGTCCGAATCCGTGAATCCGAATCGATTCCGATTCCAGTCGATTCCGGCCGTTGGAGCGATGACATCAGTGGGTTGTTGATTCGGCAGTTGAACACAACTCTAAAAGAGCACATTCCTGCAGAGTATGATCCTGTTCGATTGGTGTCTCTCTCTACCCAGTAGTAAGTCTCCCATTGCTAAGCTTGTTCTCCAACGGAATCAACTAGCTGGTGAGTATACCGAGTTGATAGTTGCTCAGATAGATGCATGTACATACTGAGAGTAGCCGAATCTAAGCGAGATTCTCCCTAGCGCAGGGATCGAGGGTAATTACACGATGATTGATTCGCCAGAGGCCTCCGTAGACCCCCGCCTACCCCAGATCGGTAATCTGGGGCGTGCATTGACGTTCTGTGTCTATCTCTCTCTCTCATCTCCACCGGCCGAACGCGGGGCGGTTGGGGATCGATCACTCATCCTTGACCAAGTGAATTTTGTCCAGCTGGAACGTAAACAGGCATCAGACACCGATTGCATTCACCATTGATCCGGCAGTCATGCCAAATATTCGCAAGAGGCGGTTTCCATACACGACCGTCGCGTGGTGAGTCCTTCCCCCGAGAGCGGACCGAGCGGGACTGATGAGATTTTATTGCGTAGCGCCAATTGCCAGCGACGAAAGACAAAGTGCAGCGGCGAGAAGCCATGCAAGTCCTGCAGCGACGGCGGAGTCAGCTGTGTCTATGAGCGAAGCTCCCGTTTTCGATCTGGCTCAAGCTCCGGCTCCCGCCCATGCCTCATAACCACCAGCGGCCGACGTGGCCGTGAGAAATCACTCACACAACCGTCACAGCCCCCACAGCCCAGCAGTTCAGACTACTATTTGCGCCTGGCGGAGAAGCGCCTGATTGCCCTGAGCCCAGAGCAGAGCGATTCAAGACAGGACTGTCCAATTGAGGTACATACTGTTGGCACCGCTTCAGTGAGGCGGCTCGTTGAGCACCGCCGGAGGGGCTCGCCAGGGGGCGTCCTGGCCGTATTTGATACCCGGACGTGGGTGAATATTCTCCGAAAGTACAACGAAGAAGTCGGGTTGCAATACCCTTTCGTTGATCTGGATGAGTTGAAACGGGATATCTGTAACCTGGCAACGTCCCCGTCAAGTCGCCATGAGCGGCAGAATGAGGAAGAGGAAATGGCAGCGGCACAGGGCCTCAACCAGTTCCATCCCGAGTCACCCAATGAGCAGATATGTATACTTATTCTGGCCATAATAGCCACTCTGGCCGAGTACGACGCCACAAAGTTGGCCAATCCCATTGTGGAAGATGTTTTTAAAGACGTCGCTATCAAAACACAACTCAAAAGCGTCAACGAGTCGGACTTATCGCTCCTGATTTTAATTGTTAGTCCACCGGCCCCATTAACTACCCCTGAGAGCACAAGTACTAATCCTAGAATCCGGCAAGAGTATTTATTTCTTCCTTAGTGATCGGGAAATTCTCGCATGGCGAGGGATCGGAAATGTTCTCAGATTGATCCAGGAGCTGAACTCGACCAATCGCGAATCATCTAGTGGATTCTCACTATCTTCAAGCCAGCCTAATCAAGTGAACGAAAAGCTTTTCTGGTCTGCGTATACATTGGACAGGCGTTGGAGTTTTGGAACCAACCTTCCATTCGCAATCCAGGATTCGGATATTCACAGTGTACCTAGATTCGACGTAAGTTTCCCTGCTGGTTTTTCCTCTGCACACAAACAGTTTTACTTACCACAGATACATTCAAATGAAACAGGATGGATCATTATCTTCGGTGTATATGAGACAGATGATACTATTCTGTGGCATTGCTTCAGAGGTCCGTAACTGGCTGGCGCCTAACCACGGTCATGGTGCGGCAAAGTCACCTCTCCTTACGGGAGACTCAACCTGTGACTTTCTCAACTTCAGAGTTATCCAATGGCAACAAAACTTACCCGAATGCATCAGGTTTATGGGTATCCAAGAAACCTTCGACGCAAAAAGGGAGAATAGGGGAGAGTACAAGCTGCGTCTCACGGTATATCTGAGAGCCAATCTGATGCGGACCGTAATCTACCGGAAATGGGCGTCGCGAACAGACCTCAGCAGCCATACCACAACCGCAAACACAATGAGAGAGATTGCCCAAGACACCGTCCGAGTTTTGGTCAAACTCGCCCGCGAAACAGATATATACCGATCTCAGCAGCGCACCTTTAATCACTTTCTCGAAACAGCACTCTCATCATTATTACTCACGCTATGCTCTGCCGAGAGCATTGGCTCACGAAATAGAAGCAGTGGATCTTTCCACAATCCTACAAGGAGATCCTGCCTGCACGATATTCGGTCAGCCATGGAGCTCGTGGCGCAGTTGTCCGTGTCATCCCCCATCACACTTCGGCTCCAGGAGAAGTTGAAAGGGATTAGAGGTGTTCTTGAAGAGATTGAGGCTCGAGATTACGCTTCTCCCAGTGACAGCGCAACTATCCAGAATCGCTGGGATCTTTCAGAAGCCGATGATCTGGAGCATTCAGCAACCCAAGAGGGAGATCTTCACCCACCTGCCCTGAGTAGCCCTGAGAGTTCTCAAGCCGCTCGTCTACCTAATGGGAGAACGCCGCAGATAGTCAGAACTCCTCAGCCTCCGTCTTTAGAATCGCTATTCACAGGCGTTGGAGACTATGACAGCATGTCTAACCCCGCTATACGGCCGGTCAGTTTGAGGGGGACAACAGAAGATGAACAAGGTGGTGATCAAATTGAGCCACGCGTGGGATGGCTACCCTCTGATATGTATACACCACAGGTGGTGGATTGTGCTATTGACGATTTCTATCTGCAGCGATATCCGGAATTGGGGGATATGTTGAAAGACTATGAGAGTTTCACCTTCTAGTATACTATTCGGAATCAGCCTAGTTGATTTATGTACTACTGATAATTGATACTTGTTACCACTTTAATAGACTAAAAGAAATCTAAACATGCCTGGCATTCGATACTAAACACTTACCCACGAAGTCTCCCAGTATTAGAAATCTATAGGATACCGTCGGGTGAGTAGGAGAGATGCCAGTTCAGCTCAGTCTGGTATTGGTCGAGAGGTCTGACTGTATCATCTCCTATAGTCTCAACCGTACATGAAGATGTACCAGACCTTGCGCTCTTGCCTTTGCTGTTGAATCGCTCCTCCAACCACTTCAACCAGATTTGCTGAGTAGCATAACTGGCATCCACATGACCAACTCCCTGAGCAACGACATAACGAAGCTCACGTTCAGGGAAAGAAGCACAGGTCTGGTTGACGCTTAGAGCTGTCAGGGCTTCAGGGAGCAGCTCATCATTGGTTCCGTGGAACACAAGCATTGGGCCGACAAAGTCCTGACCACCCACAGCAGTGAGATTGGCAAAGCTGGATGACCAGTATGAATCTATGAACCCATCCTGCATTAGCGCTGCGGTAGGATCAGCCTCCAGAGTTCCAGCGAGGGCCGTCTGAACCGCGGTGCTGCACCCTTGGATTTCCTCAACAAGGGTGAGAAGGGCCTGCCCCCGCGTCGTAAGCATCTCCGCCATATTCATGTCAGGCCATATACTCTTCATGGTGTTGGCCGCCTGCATCATGGCGAGAGATTGCCCGGTGGTTTTCACAAGCATAGTGGTGTTGGTGACGGGAGAGCCCGCGATGGTACCGAGGTATCCCGGAATCTGCAGCTCGACCTGCTGTTGCGCGGCGGCCCAGGCGGTGCCGCCGCCCTGGCTGTGTCCGTAGACGACGAAGTCCTCGGTGAGCCTATCAGGGAAAGCAGCCCGGGCCGCCTGGACGGCGTACAGAATGTCGTTTCCACCGGCTGGAGAGGCCACGTACTGGTGGAGGATGGGGCTGCCGTCTGGGTAAAACGGAACACCAAGGCCAGCATAGTCAGTGGCGACAACAGCATATCCGGCCAAGGCCAAGGCATATGGTCCAGAGAACTGATATAGGAGGTTTCGCATGTGAGAAGGAGCACATTCGGCCACGAGACCAGCCGTACCGTGGCCCCAGCCCACAAGTGGCGCGGCCTTGGCACCACCCAGAGTATGGTATGGCCAGAGAATATAGGCTGATACTGGAACAATTGTCCCATTGAGAGTCTTGGACTGATAGATAAACCGAGATAGAGCAAGAGAGGGGGCGATGGTGTACGTTGACGTGTTAGTGAAGGCTTCGAGCTTGAGAAGCGAGCCTGCAGGAGCAGTGGTAGCATTGGCAGGCAGATCCGTGTAGAATGGGTCGCTCATAACAGAGCCGGTGGCCCAGTTGGTCTGCTCGAAGCGGACGACAACTTCGAGATTGTGTGCGGCTTCATTGGACAGACCTAGGGACTTGATCTGATCTTCTGCCAAGGCAAAGCTGGAGTTCCAGGTGTTGTTGCGAGGCTCAAGCCACTCAGCGGATGTAATGCAGATCAGTGTGGCAGCCACACAGGCGCAAATTCCAAAGAAAGGACGCATTACTGGTATTTATTGAAAGACAGGCTTCATGAACTGAATAATGCCAGCTACAGATGTCTCACTCAATGACCATCGAGAAGCATGACATGTTATATATTTGATGAGTTCGACTATGTGATACAAGGCTATCCCAAATCAAGACCAAGAATGTGTCTATAATTACCGGAGAATGAAAAGACGATGGTCCACAGTGGTTCGGGAGATGCTGGTTTGGGAGTGAATATCGCGCCCCATGTTCACAGTGTGAACCTTCATTACCCGAACAGAACTTGTAAGTGCGACCCCTGTCTCATTCGATCGTCCAATCATTATGCTTGCCCATTATATTCCGGGAATCTCTGCTTCCACATTGAATTGACATGTCAGTCACTAATTAAGGCTAGGGGCTATTCGACCGAGTATGGAAATATTCGCGCGAACCTGACTATTATCTATGCATGTCTCTGTTTGAATTAGTCGGAAAGGAACATGAAGGTAGTTCTGATAAGTATATGGTCTCTCTCCCTGGCTTTTATTCATTTTGCTTGCCATTGAAAGGGACCTGCCCTTTCTATCGTTGACTCCTCCACCCTCGAACCACTAATTCTATAGTTATCGAAATGCTTCAATATAAAAAAATTACCGTATATAGAACTCCTACCCAACTATTTTGATATGTATCTCTGCCTTGAGCCCCTGGGCGGTAATAAAGTAGTCACCAAATACGATGATTTATTTCGGAAGAGGGGATTTGGTTGCGAAGATTAGTTTCTAAGAATAAGAAACATTTCATCAATTATTCAAGCCGCTCACGGGCGTCAACCGAGAGCTATGGGGCTGAAATACAGCGCGGGTTTGATGTTCAGATTCTTTAAGTTGAGGATCCTTTTAGCCACCCCTTTTTCGTATTGTGATTGATAAGCCTCGCAAGTAGGTGACAGGAGAAAATGAGACATCCAGTGGAAGAGTGGTTCTACTGTTGAAGATAAATTAAGAATTCAGTAGTATAAAATAAAAGAAGGTAACAATATTCGCTGTATTCTCTCTCAAGCATATATTATTAGCACATAATAATTTGATAATACTGATTGTAGACTAGAGAATAAGCAGCTTAATATTTGAGTATCTCAATTTCAATGTCACCCACTTGCCTCGGTACATGTACTTTGAATTGGGTAGTCAAATCTGTGTAGATATCTCCTTTCTCTATAATCTGCCTGGACGACTGATTCACGTGCTAGAAAAAGCATCTGCTCCACCATATGCTGGCGCCCAGTAGTGCTCAAATTGAAATAACTAAAGCCTCAATCCTTGCAAATAGCGATAGCTTCAGTTCACAGGGAAGCCACAGAGCCAGTCTCATGATCATGCATGCGAATTACAATAACGCCTTGCTTCTTCTTCTCGCTCTCTCCTCTTATATATTGTCCTATTATTCCCGGATTCGAACTCATCAACAATGAGTCAAAGTATTCTACTGAATGACAGTCTCTAAGAGCTTGCTCCTGGAATAAACTGTCGACACCTGCACTCAAGCTGTTCCTGGATTAAGACATGAAACGGAACCTGAGAACGATCCCTTTTGCTGCAATCATTATGGTATTCATAGTCTGGACGCATTTGCCAGACTCTCGCCGGAATCTTCAGGATCGGCCCTTTCAAACTTGATACAATGACACCCCGGATCTTGCGCAATCTTGCCCCTTGGCGCTGTAGCCACGCCAGAGCGTCCTCTCCCGTTATACTGCATGAAGGCATACCTATCATCATATCATCTAGAGTGGTGTAAGCGAAATTTCTGGTTCTATTTTCATTTTTTTTACTCCCTTCTAACCGCACTATTCCTCTTGAATCATCTCTTGCAATCCAGGATTGGGCATTAATGCTCTCGTGAATGACCTGTCAACGGCCTAATTAAGTATGAGTGCTAGGAGGCAGGGGTGCTGGTTCTGTCATGAGCGATGTCGGACTGAAGCTCTCAGCAGCGTCCTTATCGCCATCCGATGCACACGCCCTCTGTTGACCTTAGCCCAGGAATATCTGCCCAAAAGGTTCTCCTGCATGATGAATCAGTGGCCAAAGAAAGGAGACAAGAGAGAATATTGAATGACACAGATTGTGGCACACACCGTCAATTGGTCTTGGGGCGGTCAGTCAGTTTTCAGTTGAAGCCATCACTGAAGCAGGCCGCTTAGTGGACTTGTGCAGGGCTCGACGGGGGCCGACCAGGTATCGATGCATAACGCTACAAATTTAGGCTCCGGGGCGCTGGAACCTGGCAGATCCGGCCCCTTAGCCCCCTGAATCAGCATGGCCGAGCCCCCAAGCGATCTCTCCGGCCCCTGTAGCTGGCTTGATAGAGGCCTGAAGTCTCCACCCTACCCTGGATCTCCCGACGCAAGAGCAGACCAGGTCACCTGCCAGTCCGACTTATCATCGAGGCGCCACCCGCTGCTCTCTCCGTTTAAAACCCCCAGAGCATCATGTTTGCTGTTAACAGACTATCCCGCGCCTGAACACACCCGAATTGATCACGCTGAGCAGGATGTCCATAAGGGACAGGGTGGAGGGCGATTACTACGACCTTGGAGGCTTCCATCGCCCGGTGACGACTTCGAGCGCCGAGGCCCAAACATGGTTTGACCGTGGCTTGATTTGGTCGTACGGCTTCAACCACGAAGAATCGGCCAAATGCTTCCAGCGGGCAATTACTGCCGACCCCGAGTGTGCCATGGCATACTGGGGCCTGGCCTACGCTCTGGGTCCCAATTATAACAAGCCCTGGAAGTTGTTTAGCGAAGCTGAACGGCTCGACACGGTAGCAAAAACACACCGTGCGGTTGCCAAGGCCAGAGCACGAGCATCCAGCGCCGGTCCTGTTGAACAGGCTCTCATCAACGCTCTCAGCTTCCGGTATCCTGGAGACAAACAGCCGACCAAGATCAATTGCTCTGTGTGGAGTAGAGAATACGCGAACGCCATGGGAACTGTCCACGCAAGCTTTCCCGACGACCCGGATGTTGCAACGCTCTACGCAGATGCTATGATGAATCTCACTCCCTGGCAATTATGGGATCTTCCCACCGGAGAACCTGCCCCAGGGGCTCGCACATTAGAAACGAAGCGAGTCTTGGAACATGCATTGTCCCTCGACGTTGGGTTTCGCCACCCTGGTGTGCTTCATCTTTACATTCACTTGATGGAGATGTCCAAGGAACCCGAAACTGCCATGCCGCCCGCAAACAGATTGCGAGGCCTCATCCCTGACTCTGGACACCTGAACCATATGCCGTCCCATTTGGACATCCTCGTGGGAGACTATGCTCAAGCGGTAATTGCCAACACCGACGCTATCCGAGCAGATGAGCTTTTCCTGTCCCGCGAAGGTCCTTTGAATTTCTACACCTTATACCGAAGCCACGACTATCACTTTCGCCTCTACGCTGCTATGTTTTCTGGTCAATCCCGCATCGCTTTTGAGACCGTGTCCATGCTCGAGGCTACCATCACCAAGGAGCTCCTCCAGATTGAGATGCCTCCTATGGCTGACTGGCTTGAGAGTTTTTTGGCAATGCGGCTCCACGCGTACATTAGGTTCGGGCGATGGAAGGACATCATTGATTTCCCATTCCCAAGCGATCCTGTGCTTTACTGCGTAACCACAGCCTTGACGCATTACGCTAAGGGAATGGCGTACGCTGCTCTCAACATGATCCAAGATGCCGAGAACCAGCGCAACGAGTTTTCCAAAGCTGTTCCCCGCGTGAGCCCCAACCGCACCCTATTCAACAACCAGTGCGTCGATATCCTTGGCGTCGCGCAATCTCTTTTGGACGGCGAGCTCGAGTACCGCCGGGCAAACTATGAAGTCGCCTTTGCACACCTACGAGAGTCCATCCTAAAGTACGACGATCTACCGTTCGACGAGCCGTGGGGCTGGATGCAGCCGACTCGGCATGCGTATGGTGCTCTGCTTCTAGAACAGAATCACATCGAAGATGCCCTCGCAGTGTACAGGGCTGATCTGGGGCTGGATGACACGTTATCGCGAACGCATAGGCATCCAAACAACGTCTGGGCCTTGCATGGGTACCACGAGTGCTTGATAAGACTTGGTCGAGAAGATGAGGCCAGGGAGATCCGACCGAAGTTGGATGCCGCTTTGACTGTAGCCGATGTGCCCATTCGTTCGTCCTGCTTCTGTAGGATGAGAACCTTCAAACTATGAGGTTGGGCATACGGGAGTGACGGTGGTAATTGGAGCAGATTACATGCCTACTGGTTAGAGGTACATCGATTACACGTCGTTTACGAAGCGGCAACCTTAGCAGAATGGAATTGACTTAATGCCATATTAATACCAAGGACTGTGAATGATCAACATGTACGAGTATAACCTCGACCTTGTACTGGAATGTGACCGAGTGGTGAAATAGTTGTCTTTGATATTACTAGAGTTTGTTGTGCTGGCGATCCAGGGCCGAGCCTGGTAGTCAAGAAAAGACGCGAGACCTGTAAGAGAAACCTGCAAAAGCCTAATGATACTCTTCCCAGTCTAAGTCGGACGTTTTGAAGTTAGCTCCAGTTATTCAACACCAGCTCTAGCAAAACTGTGATTGACTCCCACTCCGAGAGTTTGGTCCCCATAGCCCGTCTTGGCTCGTAACCAACCGAAGCAGAACCTACTATGATATACCCTTTGACCCTGCTGACCGTTGATTGTTTCGGTATGGCTTCTATCTTCCTTGCTGAACTAAACTTCTAAATTGACCTACTGGGGGACCTAGACATGTCAGTAAGTTGATCAAATAATACAGAGAAAATCTTATTAAGGTCAACATGAGTTATCCTACAGTTGGAAGCTGGATAGGATCTCTGATGAAGACTCTTGACTGACACTGCTAGTTGTTGCAGCGAGCAGTTTTAGGAAAAGAACAAGTTCCATTAGTAATCTAGACAATTTTGAATTCAAGCATGCCGCATGAGAAGAGTAGGGCAGATAGGCTCCAGCATTTATCCCT